CCGAAAAGGGATAATTAGGGAAAAAGGTTCCGCACCAAACAGTCTAATAGAAAGTTAGAGGGAATAGCGGGAATCCATGGGAGTCCCCGCTGGGGGGTGCCAAAAGTTATCATTCTCTAACAGCCTCCAGGACCCATTGGTTTTTTGTATGACAAACACAGGAGAATTCCAGGGGCTTAGGGACCTACGGAGATGTCCCAACTCAAATTGTTGGTTGACTAACAGGTGCAGTTGTTCTAATTTGGAAGCAGGCAATGGCCACTGTTCCACCCAAATTGGAGGTCCCGGGGCCCATTTTATTTTTGGGGCCTCCGGATGGACAGTGGCCTTTAGAATTGGGGGTACTGTTTGGAAGTCTGAGGGGCTTCCCCCCTTAACTTTTGAAAATATGGATCATCCCTGTAATTAGGGTGGGCCTTTTTTCCTTGTTCAAATTGTTGTTGATAGTCTTCATTGTCAAGGATATCATCATAAAAGGCCTTGCTCTTATCCAATAGGGAGTTGACACACTGCTACCCGGGAGGAGGGGTGAGGACAGGGCAGGCGGGAAAAAAGTGCAGAGTCACCGTACCCCGGAAGTTAGTTCTTTTAAGTTTTGAGTTCTCCGCTTAGGTTTCGGTTTCCCAGAATCAGCCCGAAGGAAGTTTAAAATGGCTGAGGTACTTTCCCAAAATGGCTGGCGGCCCGGGCGTAGCCCAACAAGAGACAGAGAGAGAGCAAGAAATTTCTTATCTGCAAAAGGAGCTGCAGTGTATTGGGGAGGAATGGAGCCAACGGAAGAAGGGATTAAAAGAAAAAGAGAAAGGAGAATTGTTAGTGAAAATAAAGCAATTAAGTTGATTACCAGGATAGCTTAGTTTGGAGTAAGTGGGAGAGTAGAAAGGAGAGGAGAATTTAGGACGGTTTGGGGCCATCGCAGGAGGATGGAAACAAAGAGTGTGAAACGCTGGAGGCGGGGACACCCAAGCACAGATTTTAACCCGTGCATGGTCAGTCCCAGTAGCCACATTGCAAGATCTCAGGCCGAGGGCTGGGAGAGAACACAGGCTGTTCACGTGTTTGTATTTGGGAGGTAAACAGGGGAGGCAATTTAGGGATCCAGCAACGTGGGATGAAGCATATATGCAGAGGTGACTAACTGAGACTCCCTGTGCATTTGGGACAGAATGATAACAAACTTAGGGACACAGAAGACTTTTAGGTAATCACGCTGACTTCCTAACCTACATGAGGCTATGAAAGTAAATTTCAGAAAATTGAAATAATGTGACCAAAGTAGCACAGCTAATGTGACACAAAACTGAGGTTGGAATAATTAAAAAAACATCCTTTATTTAATGCTTTATTCCATCTTTTTAGAAGTTATAATTTTTGGGTGTCATATGTTTTAACCCACTTAAAAACCCACAATTTTATGAATCAAGGAAATTCTGAACATTCATTTCTAGTACGTGTATAATTTACTGTGCCCCGAGGAAGGAGGGCTCAGGCCCCTTCTCCAGCGGGTCACGGGAGGATGAGTGGCTGGGGGTCCTTCTGGAAGCTCGTGCTCCCAGGTAGCTCAGGAGGAGGGAGGCCCCGCAGGCCCCTGCGGAAGGAGGCCAGGCCCCGGGGGGGCGCCCCTGCGGAAGGAGGCCGGGCCCCGGGGGGTCTCCCAAAGCGGAGGTCCCCGCGCTGCGCTCTGGCTGTTTGTGGGAAGGAGCCGCGGCCTCGGGCAAAGGTTCTGCAACTGACTCGAGCCTGGGTTTTCTCTTCTGTGAGATGGGGATGTTGAGCCCCCAGGGACCTGTCAGCTCCCAGCCTGCTCACGTCCCCACGTGGACCCGCGGGCTGATAACCCAACTCCCATTCCTGACGGGCCAGGCCACGGCCTCGGCGCCCCTCAGCAGCCCGGCTCTGCTGACGCCCCAGCTGCTAAGACCTCAGCACTGGGAGGCCTGGGGGAGGCGGAGGCGGAGCGTACTCCTGAAGCGCCACCCAGCCGGTCCTCCGCCAGCTCTCGGCAGCCTGGAGACTGAGGCCACAGCCCAGGAGGCGGGACGTCTGCCGTGCGCGTCCCCGCAGTGTCTTTTGGTCCAGCTGGCCACCGTCCCCAACGTTTGCGCCGCGGTGCACGCTGGGACGTGCAGTGTC